CAAACTCATCACATCCAAAGTCAACATCTCTTCCTTCTAGAGCAGGGTACCACTATCCACCTTGTTACTCCAGGCAGAAACGTGGGGGCATCTTGAACTCCTTCTCCCCTGACCTTCATTTTACCATCCTGTCAATTCAACCTACAGAATGTTTTGCCAGTTCATCCCTTCCATCTGTCCCCTTGGCCTCTGATCCTGTCCAGGTCTCTATGAACTCCAAGTGTTTTGTTACCCACTTTGCTACCTGCAGCCTTTTTGAAACCATCACCTTGTGGGAAGGGAAGGTCAGATGATCTTTCACATTTATAAGGCTGACTGTGCCATGCCCAGCTTCACACTACTCAAGGGTTCTATGCTCCTCACAGGATGAAATCCCACCCCTGAGCATCTTGGGCAAGGCCTTTAATGATCAGGCCTTGCTTCTATATTTCCATTCTGCTTTATCTCACACAAGTTGCAGGGAGAGAGTCCTGTTGGAGGAACAGGAAGTAGCAGGTAGACACAGGATCCACTTTCAGGAAGTGGATTGCTCCCCTCCCTAGCTACTTAAGCCTTGCATTGTTGTCTGTTGCTGGCCTCACCTTCACTTGTGGTTTGCTCCTAAAAGCATTTCTCCATTTCTCCAACAGATGATAAGTGTTCCCCTTCCTTAAGACCTCCTTGTTTTTGGGTAACATCTACTTGCCCCTTAACCACAGGTTAGGTGTTCCCTCAGCTCACCCCTATTCTAGTGACACTGATTGTGTAATTGCTTATATAATTCCGGGGCCTTCACTAGACTGTAACCCTGGAGGAGCAAGGATGTCTATTAGATTTTCATAGTGTTTGTTGTTGTGGTTATGTACTGTCGCCGAGTCAGAAGTGTGTCACAGCTGACCCTCCAGCAGATTTTCAGAGAGTAAATCACATGGGAGGAGACTGCCTATCTTTCTCTCAAGGAGCAACTGGTGGATTCAAACCTTGTTCCTTTAGGTTGGCAGTGCAACTCCTTACCACTAAGCCACTCAAACTCCCTGTGTATAGTTGTTGTGTACCGTCAAGTTGGAACCAATGCAGAGCTGGACCCTCAGTGGGTTTTCAGAGGTGATAAATTGCACAGCAGGAGATTGCCAATCTTCTACAAAGCAGCTGACAGATTTGAACTGTGTGCCTTTGGATTGCAGCACAGTTTCTTACCAGTCCACCAGAGCTCCCTAACAAATATGAATGGAATAAGTAAATGAAGCAACAGTCAGAAAGTGTATATTCCTGGCACTGATAGCCCTTGTGGATGAGGCTTCCTTCTAGCTCCCGAAGAGAAAGTTGGGAGCTCAGAGAGGGAATGAGCTCTGTGAGAATGGGGCATCTCCAGTCTGGCAGATGACCCCTTTCCAGGCAGCATCTCAGGCCTCCAGCCTTCTCTGGCCTTAATGAGACCCCCCTAAAAAGTCAACCTACCCACACATGCTACTCCAGCATCTTGACTTGTTTGGATGCGAGCCATCACCCTTCAAAGAGCCTGGGGTGGTCTCTCCCTTTCCTTGAGCCATTTATCAAACTCCACGAGAAGAGGCAGGTGGCCCCCAAACATTGCTAGGCTGGCTCTGATTAGCAGCGTTTATTCCGGCCCTTCCCGCCTGAGTGGGAAGCCACATGTTCCCCATTACCCTACCGCCCAGGGCTGGCCCCACTTGACCTCTCCCTTTAATGACAAACGGCTCCTTTGTCCTCCCTGTCCATGGCTATTCCAGCTCAGGATGGCTTCCCAGGAGGGGTTGGGGCAGCTGCTCTGCCACTGAATGAGGACTCAGCAGTAGTGGCCCCAGCAAACCAAGGTTAAGGTGAGGGTCACTCACACAGGCCAAAGTTGGGAGACTCTAGGTTTGCTCAAGCCTCTTGGTGTCCCCAAAACTCTCCTAGTATCAACAGAACCAATGGAAAGGTTTCTTTTCTCCCCTCTCTATATACAATAAAGATAAATGCATGAAAGTGGGGTACAGGGCAGTAATACGGGGTTTGGAACAAGGCAGACCTGGTTCAACTCACTTGCTGGCTGTGTGATTACAAGCAAGCCAGGAAACTATTTCTCTGTAGAATGGACGAATGGCGCCTGCCTCTCAGCTTTGCTGGGAGGTCCAGGGGAGACACCCGTGTATAAAGGCTTTCAGCACCGAACAGGCACAGCAGTAGGTGCCCAGGACCCAAATATTAATTGCTACTTGGATAGAAGGTGATGTTCACTATTGGAACCAAGCCCAAAGCAGTAGGAATGTTCCTGATTAGACTTACACATGCTGGACTTGAAAGCCAGAGGCACCGACCCAGACCCCAGAACACCCTCAAAAGTGGGGTCTTTTCAACAACTGTAGTCTGTTGACATGGTGCTGATGAAAGGATGTTACAGGAGCCAGGAGACCCTGCCACGCCAGCATCTGTGTGCAGACTGCAGGTGGCTAGAGGAGGCAGTTCTGGATCTGTGATAGGCTCCCCTGCCCTCCTAACTGGCCCAGCTCCAGGCTCAGTCATCAGTGTTAGAACTTGTGGTGTTGTTTTCTCTGTAATTTTCCCAACTCCTAGCCCCTCTTTGGCTGGCTAGTACCTTTGTCTGGAAAAACCAGACTCAGCACTCAATTGTGGTTCCTATAGCCCCCGTACACAGGGAGCCGTAACTGGGGAGGCCAGAAGTCCTCATGACAGCACCACCATTGCCTGGAGGGTGTGATAGGATCAGCACGTGCTCAGGGCGTGGTCTGTGAGCCACACCAGCAGAGTTTGAGGGTCCAGACCCAGGTTATCCACACTCAGCTGTGCCACTTTGGGCACATGCCATTTACCCTTTGCTTATCGCATCTGTAAAGAAGAAAGCATAATGGCACTTCCCTCATGGGGTTTTCTGAGGGGTAAGTGAAGTAACCTGGAGGAACTCTGGTGGCTTATTGCTGTTGTTAGGTGCCATCAAGTCAAGCATGACTCATAGCAAACCTACGAACGACAAATCTGAACCCTGTCTTACCCCATGCCATCCTCACAATCTCTGACAGCCTAATATCCAATGCTGTAGCCACTGTGTCAATCCACGTGATTGAGGGTCTTCCTCTCCTTTGCTGTCCCTCCATCTCCCAGGCATGACACCCCCTCCCCAAGGAATAACCTCTAGCAGCAGCATAACCAAAGTATGTGAGACAAAGCTCCACCATCTTGGCCTCCAAGGAGCTCTCTGGCTGCACCTTCTCCAACACATATCTGTTTGTTCTCTCTCTTCCCTTGTACTGCCAACCCAAAAGCATTCAGTTTGAAACCACCAGCTGCTCCGTGGGAGAAAGATGGGCAATCCTCTTAGCATGCAAATTACTGCCTCTGAAAACCCATTGGGGTTAGCTATGAGTCAGTTCCAACGACGCTACACAATAACAACAGCAACGAGGGGTTCTTGTGAGGGGTGTGTGAAGGAACACGTGCGACTTTAGTAATTCACTGTCAAGTCGATTCCAACGCACAGCAACCCCACCACGAAGTTTCCGAGGCTGTAAATCGAGGCGCGAGGCTCATCTTTCTGCAAAGCTGCTGATGGAGACACGAGAGATCCTTTGAGCTAGGGATAAACTCATGATGGAGTACGCTTTTGAAGCTCCTAGCATTACTATGATGGGCTGGGCTCTAGAGGAAAACCTTGCCAAGAATACCGTGCCCACCCAGCCTGGGTCTGCACAAACTCTGCTTCCAGCCCAGGCACTGTGGGCCTGCCATATCGGGTTCTCCAGCTCCCTTCTGCCTCCCTCTCTTACCTTCCCCAGATCTCTTAGCAGCCCCAGTACTCACTATAACCCCCCGACCTTGATCTTAGATCAATTGTGCCCTCCTTCCCTTGAACACGACTTAGTAATTTGTCCTCTGACTGTGGACAATTTCTTCCTAGGGACCGTGGACAAGAGAGACATCTGTCTTCTCTCTCTGTTGAAGGCAGGGGCCCGAGCAGGCATGCCTTCATCCTTCCATCAGGCAAGCCCTTAAACCCTCAAGCAGTGTGAGCTGAGAGGATCCTTCAACCTGTTCTGGAAGCAGACACTTCAAATTCTTTTGTTGTGGGAGAGGGGATAGGCCTATGTGCATGTACTTCTGGGGCCGTAGGCATGTCCTGCTGATACCAGATGGACCTGGGGGATGACCCAGGGACCGAGGTCAGCCTTTCATGAAGTATCGCAGATCAGGAAAGCACTCAGTAAAGCACAGAGGAGATTTGTGTTTTCGGCTGAACGCTTTGGGACCATGAGTCCTGGGCTCTGATTCTGCTCACCACTCTGCCTGGGGGACCATGGCCAAGCAGCTGCCCTTCCCTGGGCCTCAGTTTCCCCTTCTCAGAGGGCTAACTCTTTCCACTCCACCATTTGGGGGTTTTACTGGAGCCCTGTGCACCGGACACTGGTTGTGAAGAACAACGGCTCCTCTTTCCCACAGCCATGGTATCTCCTCTGCTTTAACACCCATGTCACCCTTCCTGTCCCTAAGGAACCATATCTGAGGAGAAGATTGTCGATTTTCCCAGGCTCTGTCATTGGGTGGGGGCCCAGAGCTACACAGACTCCAAATAGGAGACTGAGGTGACTGGGGGCCTGGGCCTCAGGATCTGGATGTGGGTGTCCATTCCATGGGCTTCTGGAAATAAAGGCAGGTCCTTCCAGAAGCAAAGCTGGAGCCTCCCACTCCTGACAGGAATGAACATCCTCCCCGTCGGCCATAAACAGCAGGGCCACCTCACAGCTACCGCAGCTTTGCTGCTGGAGGACAGGCCCTCTCAAATATTCCTAAGAAGCTGTAATTTAGGTATATTTAGTCAGGCCACGTTCTCTTACATCAAATCAACACTCTCTCCTGCTCTAGCTGACCACATCACAGGTGGGGCCACCACATCCAGATGAGGGCCAGGCCTCCTACTCCCAAACTGACTCAAGGCCCTTTCAGTCAGTTGTCCATCCCTCCTCCACCCTACCCTGCCACTCCCAGGAAGATAAAAAACAACTTACAGGGGGCCCTCTCGGACCAATAATGGACATTCCAGCATCTCCTGGGGTTCCCTGTGGAGAGAGAGGAAGAAGGAGGGAGTGGGGCCAAGCAGGATGGGATAGAAGACATGGGTAAGAAGAGGGTGAAAGGAGAGGAGTTGGCCAGTGGGGAGGGAGGCACAGAGGGCAGTGAGATGCAAAGCCAGGACATGGGGAAGGTAATGAGGGGCTTACAGGAGAGGAAATGGGAAGGGAAAGGAATGGAACATTCCAGAAAGACAGCAGGAAATAGTAGGAATGAAGACAGTGGTTGAGCAAGAGCATAGATGTGGAGTCCAGGGTGATGTGACCCCAAGCCAAGGGTGTGATGGGTAAGAGTGGACATGGGGAGAAAAGAGGCCTAGCTCCACCATGGTGTCCTGGCCAGAGACCAGAACTCCCCATGTCCAGCTCAGGGCCCTGTGCAGCCTCTGTCAGCCCTGCTCAAGATTCGAAGCACCAGAGGCCTAGCTCCCACCCTGTCCCCAGATGCCCATCCAGGTGCGCATTCTGCCACTGCTGACACTGGAGGGCAGTCATCAGGTCTGGGAGTGCAGAGTGGGGACCCAGGAACTAAGTTGCTAGCTGAACTAATGGCTTGAGTTGCCTTGATTTTCCTAGTCCTGTTTGGGGGTGACACAGAGGGTTAGAGTGACACAGGAGGATCAGCCACGAAGGATGAGGAGGAAGCTGCCAGGCTCTGAGCCCCGAGGGTGGCTGGAGGGTGGCTGAGATTTCTGGGTAAATCCTTGTGTGGGCTGGAGGAGGAGAGGAGGAGGATGAAGAACGTATGCGACATGGATGGGGTGAGACAACAGAAGGACAGACTGTGTGGTGCTTCATCCCATCGAGTCCACTCCTGCAGAGGCACCAGAGGAGCGGTAAAGCCCAGGGCCCTGAGGCTGAGGTCCCACTGGGCCATTGGGCTGACAGGGCGGCATTAGGGAACTGTGAAGCCAGGAGGCTGAGGGCTGCTCAACTGACCCTAGAGATCACAGGGCACAAAAGCATCTCTGGAAATCACTCAATTTCTCTCTGTCTGTCTGTCTCTCTCTCTCTCACACACACACACACACACACACACACACACACACACACACGAGAGTGAGATAAACTAATCGTTTATGCCACCGTAACCTGACTGCCTTCTTTCCAGGCTTTGCAAATCCCCCCACTTTGACAGGGTGCAGTCTCTTGTAGGAAATATCTGCGTTTTCCTTTTTTTGACAGGTTTTTCCGGTTACTCGGGTCCTGCCTGTCACAGGTACATTGTTATGTACCGTTGAGTCGGAACCGACCCATAGCCCCTCCAGTGGGTTTTCAGAGGCTGTAAATCACAGGAAGGAGACTGCTCATCACTCTCCTGTGGAGCAGCTCATGGACTCGAGCTGCGTGCCTTTGTGTTGGCAGCACAATTCCTCACCACTAAGCCACCAGCAGTACATGCAGCAGTGCGTATAATGTTGAAGATCAGAGATTCTGGAGCCCTTGGGGTTGAAGGCTAGCTGTGCCCTTGTGTGACCTTGGGCAAGTGATGGAACTTGTCTGTGTCTCAGTTTCCCTTTCTGGAAGGCAGGGATAAAAGCCCCTATTTATAGGATAGATGGGAAAATGACATGAGGTAACATACCATGTTTCAACAGTGCCTAGTACTAGACTGTAAGGTGTTGGTATAGGTGAGGCAGTGAGCAGAGTGGAGGAGGCATATGGGGACTACAATTTTTGCATAGCTTTACTAAGTCAGTAACTCTCCGGGGTGGGGTGTTGGGGAAATCCCAAACCAGTGTCTGTGGAAGGTTTTAGCAAGTGTCTGTTAGCTGCTACAATGCTGCACCGTCTCTCTTTCCTAGGACACCTTAGCCTCTGTGACTAGGGTGTGAGAGCGGAGGGAAGTGGAGGTGACACACGTTCTTCTTTCAATTTAAGGGACTGTGTACTTGGTGCTTGGGACCCATCCTGGGACTCTCAGGTAGCCTGGTTTCCACTTTCTAGCTTGCTGACCTTGGATCCATGACCTTCCCTGTCTGTGTCTGAACTCTCTCTGGGACTAAAACTCCCATAAAATGGGAGTGTGAAAACATCTCTGGCAAGGCAGGCTGGTGTTAATTGGAATATCAGAGGCAAATCACTTGTAAGTGTGCCTGGTAAGTTTATATTTCACGCACAGCAGCTGCAACTGCTATTACAGAGACTGTAATGCACAGTGAGCAGACAAGGCAGGGTGGGGGCCAGGAAAGGACTGAGGGGGGCAGCACAGTATGCAGACAAGGCAGGGTGGGGGCCAGGAAAGGACAGAAGGAGCAGCACAGTGAGCAGACAAGGCAGGGTGGGGGCCAGGAAAGGATAGAGGGGCCAGCACAGTGTGCAGACAAGGCTGACTGGGGGCCAGGAAAGGACTGAGGGGGGCACTAGGAGGCCTGACTCCTGGTCCTGTCACCACAGCTGTGGGGGCCCTGATAAACCCCACCTCTTCCCTGAGCCCCAGTCTCTCTGCTGTCATGTGAGCTGGTGAGGGGTGCTGCTTGTGAAATCTCTCAAGGCCCCGCCTGGGCTGATGCTCCAGAATCGCCGTTATAGCCCCTGGAGTCCTGAATTTTCCCAGGGACTTCCCTCTGGGCTAAAGAAAGGATGTCTATGTAACCATGAGTTCATGGCACAGGGCAAAGCTCAGATCTGTTGTTCTGATGGGGTTGTTGTGAAATGTATTTGACTTGACAGTGCATGACAACAACAATGACCATAAGTGAAGGAATTATTGGTGGGGGCAGGTTAGAATCAGGAAGACAGAACAGAGAGCGCCTCATGTCGGGAGAGGGTTTGTTCATCCTGGGGAGGCAGACAATGAGGTCACATGCAATCATGGGTGGGCAAAGGAGAGCCATCTGGAAGGAAACCTGGGATCATCTCCCAGGAACCCCCAGATTCCTGCCTAAGGGCATGGAAACTGCCAGGAAACAGGGCAGAAGCAGGCTGACAAATCAGTCGAGAGGGGAATCAGTTCACAGGCTGTGGTTGGGCCCAGGTGGTAGAGGAAAGGCTGGGGAGGGGACCTCTGAAAGCCCACCTCAAGGGTCTAAGCCAGAGAGGAGGCTGGGATCGAAGGGTTGAAAGGGAAGACGCGGACTCACCTTCTCTCCTGCTTGGCCCTTTATTCCCTGGGACAGTCATGTGCAGATGGGGTGTGGAGGAGAGAAGAGAGAAAACAGAGAGAGGATGAGAGAGAGGCACAAATATGATATAAGAATTCGTGTTTTTGGGCACAGGGACCAAACAAAAGAAATGACCGTGAAATAAGAAACAAAACAAAACACAGATGCTGACACATAAGGGGCTTCCCGTCCAGCTGAGCACAGCATGTGGAAGGTTGTAGCCTCACCCAACTCCTGATAACAGAGAGAAAGAGTGGCAGGCTGCGTGCGTGCGTGCGTGTGTGTGTGCACATGTGTGTGTGTGTGAACAAGAACCCAAGGGTCAGTCTGAGTGAGGTGGTCGGAAGGACAGAATCCCTCCACCACCAGGGCTGTGCTGCGATGGTGGAGTCCATGAGGCAGAGGGGCCAGCTGTCAAGTAAGAAACTTTCTCAAGCTAGGCAATCCAAGAGGTGTTAGGTGGATGCCAGGGGGCTGGTGGGACATGGAGAAGCAGGAGTGGATACGTCAGACTCACACCTGGATGGATGGTGATGGACCATGGATCTGAGGAAGCTGGGGTTCTCTTCCAGGGGTCTCTCTCATAACCTTAGTGACCATCAATCTCCCCCTACTCCATCTTTTCCAAATATATCAGTGGTGAGCCCTGGCTGCCAACACCTCAGGCACTTCACACCCACTGACCACCAGGTGCTCTTATCAGGTGACACATGCCAGGACCCCTACGGGGCAGCCAGATGGGCCCCTTGTCACACCAGGAGCAAGAAAAGCCCCTAAATGGCTTGACAAGTTCTCTGAATGGAAAGAAAACAGAAGACTTCCTGTGAGCCTGCCAGCCCTCCCCACCCCTGGTGTGGATCAGAACCGGGCTCAGATGGACACTTCCTGGGGGGAGATGGCCACCTGGCTCTAGAAGAGCAGAGGAGGAGGCTGGGAGGGACTGGTTTGCATTTTGGCCCCCTGCAGGCCAGCAGCTGCACTGGGTGGAAGCTCCCAGAAATTTACCTGTGAGAAGGGACTTTCATGTCCAGAATCAGCCTGGCTACAAAGCCCAGCTCCACACCAGGCTTGGCACACTGAGTCTCAGCATCCTCATCAATAAAAAACCAACACCCATTTCTGCATGAGCAATTCTGACTTGCAGCGGCCTTGGAGGACAGAGTGGAGCTGCCCATCGGGTTCCTGAGGCTGCAAATCTTTGAGATTAGAATGCTTATCTTGCTCCCGTGGTGCAGTGGGCCACCAGAATTCCCCAGAAAACAAACAAGTAACAACAAACTGAAAAACATGACTCAACCAACCAACTCCAAATCTGTTGCTGTTGAGTTGATTCTAACCTAGCAGAAACAGAGGTCAAGGACATAGGCTCTGTGGTGGAGAACTTGCTGGGCTCAGACCTATGCAGACTGGGAAAGAGTTTTATGCTAAGTACAAGCAAAAGACTGAATGGATGCTCAGGTGGACTTGCAATCTGACAATCAAAGCAGAGGAACAGAGCCAACACCCTGGGAAGTGGTGAGATGCTCTCACGCGGTGCGACCCAGGGTGCCTAGCTCAAACCTAGGCAGATAGGTGCTAGCTAGGTAGACCCGCGGAGCTCAAGGCTCTGCCCCACTTGTCCTGAACCTTTGAAATGTCCCAGACCCACATTCTGGAACGTCATACCCAGTTTCTGATCTTTCTGAGAGCTGTGACACCAGTGGCCAAGTGGTGTATTGTCAGGATCAAGAGCACAGGTTTTGGAGTCAGCCAGTCTAGGTTAAAAATCCCAGCTGCTTGCTGGCTGTGTGAGCTTGTTTCATGTCTGAGTCTCAGTTTTCCAATCTGAAAAATGGGTGTGGAATTTGTGCCCACTTCATGAGGCTCTTGTGAGGATGGATGGGCTAATAGGTTAGCACACACATGTGTGTTAGTGACGATGACATGGCTGCCTTTTCTCAAACTCAGAACACCAGTGCCCACTCCAGGCATGCGAACTCATACATCAAATGTCAATCCCAGGCACGGAGGTGAGATTAGGAGGCAACGAGCATGAGTGACAGGGCTGAGTGCCATGGGGTGCTGGGGAGCCAAGGCTGTTGCTGATGGTAGGGTGGAGTTAGCAATCCGATGGAGGGGTAGTCCTGGCCACACCCTGGACCAGGCTGGTCACCACTGCCACAGGCCACTGCATGCGCACCTTTCTGGCCCCTTAGGGGCCATCACCCTGAAGGCTTTGGGGAAACGCCTGATTCCAAAACCTTGAGATCTAGTTTCCATTCTGGGGAGTGCTCTCCCTATCAGACATTTGCATTGCTCTTCCTCTATCTCCCTTTTTCAGCAGGAAGCACTAAATATCGGAAATCTTTGGTTCCTTCTTTGGCTGTGGAGGCTCTGCCCAGACAACCCTGTTGTAACGCTTCTCTACCACCAGAAGACAGATCCTCCCCAAACCCCGGCCCCAGAGCTGCAGCTTATAAAGTAAATCTGGCTCTGCCATGGACTGACTCTTAGCTTTGAGGGTGCTTCTCTCCATTGCTTGCTGCTCGAGGTGGGGATGGGCTGAAGGAGCTGACAGTCTCAAGGTGGGGTGGGGTGAGTTAAGGAGAGCATCCTATCTGAGAAGGCTCATGCCTCATCCCATCACCAAGAAGGTGACCAGCTAAGACCTTCCTTTATCCATGCAACTATCCTTTGCCAGGGCAGCTCTCTAGACAGTGAACCACATTGGGATGTCTGAAGGGCTGGAATAATCTTCCCTTCCTCATTCCTATACCTCCTTGAAGCTGAACAAGGCAGTGAGAGGGCAAGTGCTGCCCCCTTCCTTGGGGGCTGGGTTAGACAGCACAGTGCCATGGCCTGGAGGACAGGCTGGTGAGGAGAAGCAAGCAATGACCACAATGCAAGAGCAGATGCGTGACTCACCACACGTCCCGGCATCCCAATGGCACCTTTGTCTCCCTGATGAATGAGGCAAACGATCAGATGTGTCTGGAGTAGGGAGGCGTATGCAGGACCCCACAGGACGGCTGTGCCCCCAGTGCCTGCTTTCCGCGGTTAGGGCAGCCCACACAACATCCAAATGTTGTGTGAGTGGGCTTCCCCATGAGGCCCCCAAGTGTTCAGTAAGTGGTGTAAGTGGCTACACCTCTCCTCAGGGGAAGAGCAAAGGTACTAAGGCAGGAGTATGGTCCCCGCCCTGAGCCCCAGCATCCCTATGTGTATTCATTCCTTCTGAAGCTGTAATCCATTGTTGCTATGCTAGGATATGCATTTGGAGGATTAGCTATGGCTTGACTGTAAGATGCATAGCAAGGTGACTGGCAGTTCTATGTGGCAGGTGGGTGAGTGAATCCCTTTCTCAGGTCCCACTCTGCCAGAGCTAGAGAACAGTGTCCCTGCTGCCTGCTCCTCCCCCAGGGCCCCTGTCTGAGAAGCCTCCTCCTCCTCAGCCACCCCACCCCCACCCCCGCCCCTGGCACAATAGGAAGGGCTGTGAGGCATGTGGACTGCACTGCATCACAAGTCCCAGCTGCTCAGGGGAATCGCTTTGTTTTGTAGCCAGGGGTTCCATCTTCTCACTCTGGAAATCTGCTTACGAAGTTCTGTTCCTCCTCCTTTGGGTTGAAAAGTATTTTTTTGCAATCATATGCATGCAGACATCATAAAATCTGGGGTAGAGCCTGGGATTTGCCATGGGCCTGGGAGGACGGAAAGCGATCAGGTGCTGAAAAGAAGTCGGTGTTTGTCCCAGGCAGCTGGAGAAGAGAGAGCTGGCTTCCAGGGTTTCCCTCAAATGTCCAGCCATTTCTTGGGTGACTCTGTGTGCCTGCCAATCCCAGTGAGGCAGAAGGCCTCGAGGGACAGTTAGCATCCAAGACGCATGAGAGACGCACCAGAGAATAGCAATTAGTTCTAAAATTAGGTTCTTGTTACACATCTGTTGTCAAGACCCACGATGCCTTTGAGGAAGATGCTCTACCCGTGGTGAGGAGCACTGTAGTTAGCTACCAAGGAGTGTGCCTTGTGGTGACTCCACACAGAGAAAGAGGCCCAGAATGCTGCCTGGTCCTGGGGCATCCCCACGGTCAGCTGAGGATCCCATCATCGTGATCCACAGCTTTCCACTGGCTGCTTTTTGCACCAGGCCTTTGTTCCTAGTCCTTCTTGGGCTGGAAATTGCACTGAACTCTGTTCTGCATCAGAGCAACACACAAGTCTCCCCCAAGAGGCAAGTGGTGGCTGTGTGCGAGGTGCACTCACTGGGAACGGAAGCCTGGACCCGGGCGTGGAAGGCAGGAATTCCATCACGGGCAGAATTCTTGCCCTGTGACACGTTTCCTTATCCTGCTAAACGTCAGCTTCTGTCACGTGTACGTAACAAGTTTTCTCCCTATGGAGTTGCTGGAAGCATTCTGTGGATGATATCTCTAAAAAGCTTATGCCAATGCCTGCCGTTTAATAGGGCCGAGTGCAGGGGAGCTACTGGGATTAAGCCAGCACGCCCACAGGCGAGTCAAGTTCATCAGCATGCTTGCACTTGGTACAGTTTACATTTCACAAGAAGTCCGGACCAGCAGCCTTGTCATGGGTCCCTCTCGAGCCCCTTCACCTAGAAGCACAAGGAAGGCCGAGACCAAGGTTTCTTCTTCCTGCTGAAAACAGTGGGCCGTGCTGGCTAGCGGCTGGGACATCCACACAGGCCACGCATTCTGGGGCTGCTGAATGATATTTCAGGGTGTGTGTTTTGGTTTCCTTTTCTTTTAAAAAACTAATGGTCTTTGCAGTCCTGCACCATAAAACGCTCGAGTTAGGGACAGGCGTGGAACGGTCAGGGGGCTGGAAACTATGCAGAGTGGCCCTGTGCTGTGGACTGCTCCCTAAATGCTTTTAAAAGGTGGACTTGGTCCGAGAAAACAAAGTCTGCCCACGCTCATCCCAGTCCTCTGATTTCTCCCCTCCTTGGATTTCAAGGGACCAATTCATTGTCCTCCCTTCGCTCCAGGGTGTGTACTTACTGGGAGAGTTTCCATTTTCAAGGCTAAACATTCTCCCGCATGCATTTCATTAAAAGAGTCACCCCTGGACATGATTTCTAGGAGCTGCTGGATTCGTTAAGAGATTATAGTATAATTCACGTCTTAAAGGGGAGTACCGGGGTCACAGAGATGCACAGAAGAGTCTAGAGACCAGTAGGCATGGTCTTTGGTGCAGGGAGAAAGGGCAGCCACAGCCTCATACCACCGCAGAACACTCACTGCGCTTCAACTTGACCCTCTAATGCTACAACCTCTTGCTTGAGTCATTTCCAATCCAAAGGCCCAAGTTCTCCAATGCTCAAGTCACTCCTGCCCCAGGCAAGACAACCCGGAGCAATGTCTTAGAAGACTCTACTGATGACTCTCAAATGTTGAGGACGAGCCACAGAAGCCCAGGATGAAAGGATGTGTGATAATATGGGCCCTGAGGCAAACAAGTCTATTGTGGCGGAAGTTCAACCAGCATGCTCCGCAGAGGCAAGGATGGTGAAACTCTCGTACACTCTGGCATGTTGTCATGAGGGGGCCAGTCTTTGGGGAAAGTCGTCATTCTTGGAGAGATGAAGGGTCAGAAAAATAGAGGCAGAACCTCAAGGAGACAGAATGACACAGTGACTGTAACCACCAAAGGGTGGGGGTGTATAGATCGAGCGGAAGGCACAGGATAGGCCAGGGCTTAACTCTGTCATTCATAGGCTTGCTCTGAGCTGTAGTTGACTCGCTGGCACCTAACAACAACCACAGGTCTACAGCTGAAGCATCTGCTCATTTAAGAGCAAGGTGACCTTGGACTAGGTACTTTAGCTGAATCTCAGTTTGTTCCTCTCTCAACTGGGAATTGCAATATCCATTTCACTGAGTTGTTGAACAAATCAACTAAATGGAGGTGGATTAGTGTAGTAGCTGGCATATAGTAAGGTCTCTATAAAAGGAGGCTATGACTATTTCTATTTTTGTCCCAAAGTCCCTGTGGTCACTTGGGATGCATGGCCTTTCCAGGTTTCAGGAATGGTACTGAGGGAGAACAAAGTCTTGAAATCCACTCTCTGACCAGTGGGCAGTGTGGAGCGCATAGTGGCCTTAATCTTAGACAATATGCAAGAGGAGACTCGGTGCCCAGTCCTGCCCATTACAGGGCTGTTGACCTTGAAGTCAGTCAGGCAATCCTAGCACTTAGAGGAGCCTGCACGGGGTGCTCATTCCAAGAAAGGCCTAAGGAGTTGTAGTTACAAGTTCCATATGTTCTAGTAGCAGCCTCTCCAGTTCTACCTGAAGGAGTGGGCTAATGATGTCCCCCTGCTCTGGACTAGAGAAGCTCTCAAGTCAATACCCCTGGGAGAAAGTGGCCACAGGCCTAACCCACCCCCACATGAGGAAAGAGCGTGGAAGAGTGATGCAAAGGAGTGCAGCAATGGAACCTACTTACCGGCAGTCCAGGTCTTCCTGTGGGACCCTGAAATGAAAAGGAAACGTAAGGTTGACATGGGTCTGAATATTATAATACTTAACGGTTCAATACTGCCTCTCCCACTGGTGTGACCTTAGCAAAGTCATCTGTTCTCTATGATCCTCTGTTATTTTATGAATAAAGTGAAGGGAGGACCTTGGTCTTTAAGCTTCTAAGCTTCTGTCCAGTTCTGTAGTCAATCCTTCATTCTCAGTGGAGTCTCCTCCATGCCAGGAGTTGTTATGTTAACTATGTCTCACAGCATCAAGTTGACTACGACTCATAGCAACCCTCTGAACTCTGTCCTACTCTAAGCCAATCTCACTGTCTCTAACATACCTGCCCCCATTGCCACACTCACTGAATCAGTGCATCTTACCCAGGATCTTCCTCTCCTGGGCTGACCTTCTACCCCTTTAAGCACGATGCTTTTCTCCAAGGACTGGTCCTTCCTGGCAACATGCCCAAAGTACGTGAGATGGAGTTTCAAAATCCTTGCCTCTAAGAAGAATCCTGGTTTCATCCTCTCCAGGACAGACCTATTTGTTCTCTTGGCAGTACATGATATGTTCAATACTCTTTCCCAGCACCACAACTCCAATTCTTCTTCTTCTTCTGTTTTCCTTAGTCACTGTCCTGCTCTCAGATGCATAATAAACAATTGAGAAGACCATGGCTTGGACCAGACAAACCTTAGTCTCTAGAGTGACACCACTGATTTTCTTTTTTTTTTTTTTAACTCTGCAGAAGTCCCTGATAGCAGACTTTCCCAATGCAACTTGTCCTTTGATTTCCCGACTGCTGGTGCCAAGAGTGCTGATTGTGGATTCAAGCAAGATGAAATTGTTAAACACGAGAGAATGGAAAGATGAGAGTATCCTATTCCTTATCTCCATCCTTATGACTCAAGGATCATGGGGACTGCTGGTCACACCAGTGCGCTCCCACTCTCTCAGCTTTCTGGTTCACTCAGGTGAACATTTTGCCTACTCCCTGGGAAAGGATCTAGAAGTAAGGGAAGATCAGTCTTGTCTTCCTACACAGGAGTGGCCAGATGCTGGGGCAGAGCTCCTCACTCGCTGCTCTGATGAAGATTGTTTGTGTCAGATGCTTCTTCTGGACCCGTCACACCTAACATGATGGACGTGACAGTGAAGTAGGTGACACCTCTGCTGGGATCATGAGGGAGCCAAAAGGTCTTCTTTCCTTAGATGGCTTTAACCAGGCCAAGTTCACTCTTTTCAGGATGACCTCACCATACCTAGAGGTCCTCGGTGGTCATGAAACCCACTTTCACTGGCCAAAGGTCTCACAGTACTCATGCCTAATATGACTTCTCAGTTGATTGCAAGCTGTCGACATGGAATCAAGTTAAACGACTTCATATAAGAGATCTCCAACTCAGTCCCATAAGGACAAATACTTTATAAGACCATTATTGTAGAACTAGAAGATAACTTGTAAAATGTGTATGAGGATCCCAGGGGAGTAAGGTAGAAGCAAAGGGGTGAGGATGGGCAGGGGAGTAATCATAAGGTCATACAATCTGATGGGTCGAGGGAGGACTGGGTAAAGGAAATGGGAAGGATCCAACGTGAAAACAATGCATATGAACTTTGTAAGCAAACTAGCATAAAATAAAAAATTTAGTTAAAAAAATAAAAGACTTCATGGAAGAGATTTGTAATCCCATTAACACAGGACAGCATTCACCAAAATGTGTTATTAATACCGATAATTATCACCATTATAATAGACTTAGAAGGCAGCTCAGGAGTCTGAAGGAATCCCAGGGAATTCATGCCTTTCTGAACTCTGGCTCCAGCTTCCAGATGGATCTGATGGATGACGGTGACTGAGAAACCTCCCTAACGGCTGCCTCCTGGGGCACTGGGGAGCTTCCTGCAAAGGCGGACAGCAGAGATCTGGGGAAAGCTTCCTGAATGCAGCCCAACCCTGGCGCAGCAGAGGCACAGAGGCATGCAGCCTGGGAGCGGATGGAGGTGTCCTGGTGAGGGTGACAGTATGACTTCGAGGTGAGAGCCAGACTCTGGGATTTGCCCAGCTGTGCTCAACAGCTAGCTCTGCTACTCACTCATTCTGGGACCTTAGGCAACTTGCTTGGCCTCCAAGTGCCTCAGTTTCCTCATCTTGAAAATGGGAGAACATTCATTTCCATCCTAAGAGTACACAAGCTTGAGTATGTGTAAAGCACTCAATGTGGCATATGGTGAACACTTAATAGACAACAATTACTGAATTATGCCATTGAGTTGTGGTGTTGGTGAAGAGTACTGAATATGCCACGAACTGTCAAAAGAACAAATAATTTTTTCCTGTAGGAAGTGTAACCAGAGTGTTCCTGAGTGGCAGGGATGGTGAAACTTCATCTCAAATATGTTGGGTATGTTATCAGGAGGGACCAGGGCTTGGGGAAAACATCATGATGGGCAAGAGAGGAAGCCCTTCCATGAGATGGATTGATGCGGTGACTGAATCAAAGGACCCAGCATGGTAGAGACGGTGAGGGAGGTGCACGATAGGGCAAAGTCCTGTCTGATCTGTTCACAAGGTCACCACGAGTTATCCTTGACTCAATGGCACCTTACACCAACTACAGCTATTACTAGATGGCAGAGAAGTGATGGGCAGTGCACAGAGCCAGCCTCAGTCTCTTCCTTCAGAGACTCTCCTGTCGGACACACCTCCTTTCCTCGCAGACACTGCTCAGCTTACAGACATAGTCAGGACTGAGACTCGGCTGCCCTGGTTTCTGTTACCCATGAGCCAGACGTGTCACCTGTCCTGGCCCTGCTGGGCACCACCTCCTTCTCCACACTCATCCTGTCTGAAGGGCCAGTCCCCACCCTTAGGTCCTGGTGGGGAGATAAGACCATCATCTCTTCATTCCTTCCAGGACTGACTCAGTTGTGGTGTTAAGTCGCTTGCGACTCACAGCAACCCTATGCACAACAACCCTAAATCCTGCTTTATTCTGAGCCAATTTTATCGTCTCTGACACACCTACCCCATTATCCCAGTAACTGAATCAATCCACCTCATAGAGGGTCTTCTTCTCTTGCATTGTCCCTCAACCCTCCCAAGCATGACGTCCCTCTCCAAGGACTGGTCCCTCCTTGCAACATGTTCAAAGTATGTCAGATGGAGCTTCAGAATCCTTGCCTCCAAGGCGCAGCCTGGATTCATCCTCTCTAGGATGAACCTGTTTGTTCTCCTAACACTAGAACTAAACACACCCTGTGAGCCTCTCTGTGAAGCCCTAGTGCTCAGCGGTTAAATGCCTGTTTGTTAACTGTGGTCTGTGGTTTGACCTAACCTGCCCTGCCCAGCAGCCTGTGGGGAGGTGGTGTGGGGAGGAGGTTCTAGGGTGGGGGAGTGAAAAACCCCTCAGCAAGTGGGGTCAAAGGCCCATCTCCAGTAGGAGTAGGGGTCTGGCAAAGTGCTGACCCTGTCCCCCCGCACCATGGTGGAGTTTATTTTTGAAGACTGTTGGCAGGAATTGAGATCTGACATCTCAAATCTGCCACGATAAATTATGCCCCTCCGTTACAGGAATGAAAAGCTTCTCTCTCTCTCAGGGTGACTTATCAGTTAGGGAGCGAGGCGGGAGTCCCATTGAGGGCTCCATTTACATCTCAGAGAACAGATGAGATATTAAATAATGGTCTGATTAGAAACCAGGCAGACCATTCCCCAGGTACAGACCAAGAGCACAGTGTCCGAGGTGACCCCTGGGGAAGCTGTGATAGACTCGCTGCTGCCAGTCACCTCCTTGAGAAAGATCTAATGCTGAAGGCCTGGCCCTTTCAAATTCCAGTCCCCAGTCCCCCACTGACCTCCGCGTCTTTAGTTGGGATATCAAGTGTTGTCTCTCAAAGAAGCCACGCTCCTGTTCTCTGGATCCATTACTTCAGGGAGATAGTATCCTTGGGCATGGTCAAGTTCTTTGGAAATGACTGGGCTCCCCTTCCGCCCCCCTCCCCCAAGGCTAGGGAAGAAAATGCCAGGGAAGAAGGCGTGACCCAAGTACTATAATGTATGAGCCATTCCAAGTCTAACTTGTTGATGTTATTTTCTCTGGCATAAAGGCAATCGCAGTTGCTGCCACTACCACTTGGACTAAGAGGCCAGGCCAGAATTCAGCTGCCCTAGGAAGCTGTGTGAACATGTGGACATGGTGTGGACAAGCACAGAGTCCTTCCAGGCAGCCCACACTTCACGTTTCACGCTGACCTGCTTTCTGATTGGTGAGGGGACTTTCAAGGACCAGACCTGAGGAGAGATTATCTTTTTCTTTCTGAAACTGGGTGCTTTTCTGACTCCAGTTCCTTCTTTAGGAGACAAAGGAGCTGGGCTAACAATGGGGCCAGCTAGTCTTTCAGACTGAAATACAGGCCCTGCTTGGTATTACAGTGAATTATTGTCTTGGCCTGGAGTGGCAAGGTGGGTAGAAGGCAAAAACACAGCCTTGTGTCCTCTGTAAGGAGTCTCTGGTGGAGGATAGTACTGGTACTGGCTGTTAACTGAAAGGCTGGATGTTCAAATCCATTGAGAAGCACCTTGGGAGAAAGACCAGGTGATTGATGTACCACTGAAAACCCCATGGACCACAGTTCACTCTGACATACACAGGGCACCAGGAGGAGATAATTCAATTGCAACTGTGGGATTATTATTACTATTATTGTTTTGTATAAAACTGCCAGAGGGCCTCTGCAGAGACCATCTGCTGTGGCCCCTGAGAGTAGAGTGGAGGCCATCGGGCAGTCTCCCACCCGGGGCCCGGTTACCAGCAGGGCTCTTAGGCATTGGAGACGTGTGGGACCAGGCTGCAGCTTGAGTACTTACAGGAGGTCCTGAAAGAGAAAGAGAAAAGTCCAGGGTCAAGGTCACGGCTGGAAGGAAGACAGGGGAGGCCGCCTTAGAAGCAGCATCCAAGAATTCTTTAGCTGAGGGATTTCCATCTGGTCTTCAAAGTTTATATTTTCCTGGCCCACTTTCACCAATGTAATCGCTCTTGCGTTTATTTCAGCTCCATATTTTCACCATTGGATGTCCCGTGCAGAGGGCTCGGTCCTAGACTTGCTCTTGCTGGGACCCTAAGGGGGACTTCTGCAAGGCTCTCTGCCTCAGTTTTCCCCCTCATAAAATGGGCTCCCTGGAACCTGCAGTACACATAACTCATGTTAACGGTGGGTTTGTGGGACCCGGGACAGTAGACATTGCAGCACATGGAGGAGGGGCAAATGAGGGTCAAATGACAACTGTGATTGTCATTGTGCTCTGTGTCTCCCTCAAACTTCCCTTGGGCAGGGTGAAACCAAGTGTCTCCCTTGCCTGATGTCCATCGGGGCGGCCCTGGTTTCTATTAGACTGTGAGTCAGGCAGGCCACCTCTCCAGGCTCTGCTGGCCTCCACCTCCTTCTCCACACCCACCTGGTCTCAGGCGCCAGGCCCCACCCGTCCTCCCCTCCCCGCCCCTCTTTTCTTGCCCTACTTGTGTTATTCTTCCCCTTCCACCCACCCCAGCAACTGCCCAGCCTCTTCAGCAGGCTACAGCCAAGAATGACAAATGCAAGCGTTCAGAGGAGGGAGCAAGCCCAGGCAGTGGAAAGAGGGAAAGAAAAGACATCTCTTGACAGCCCCCAGCCTGCCGGGGTCCCCCAGCTGGGCCGGGTGGGCTGCCCAGCCCCCAGCAGTCACCTGGGTGTTAACTCAGCTGCTGCTGCAGAAGCTTCTCTTAAGCTAGGCCAAGAAAAATACTGCGTCTTCTCCCCTGGTGTTCCCAAAGCCGCTTCCCTTTCTCCCCCTTATCTGTCCGATTCTCTGTCCTGAGCTGAGGTAGGAGAAAACAACCCTGCTCTCCTGCTGTCCTCTGTCACAGCAGCACGTTAAGAGGGAACAAAATGTTTGACAATTTTTTAAAAAAACACCGAAGAGACGTAGGAAATGGGCGAGGAGGGCCCAAGCACAGGCCAGCAATGGGTTTCTGAGCAAGTGAGAGGGAGGGTGGTGCAGGGAGAGGGCCACATCTGGGGCCCATTAGGCCGAGGGGCAGGGGAATGTCACCCAGAATCTGGAAATATCCTCGAGCTGCAGTCTGCCAGCAGTGTTGGCCCGGCTGGGAAGTCTCTGCCTGCTGGCTGGGGGCCGTGTCCTCGGCGTGAGGAGACTGGTGACATGTGCCGTCTCTGGCAATGGGGCCGGTTTGTCCACATGGAAAGCAGATGCCCACGCCGCTGGCCTGACAGGGTCCTGGCTTCCTGGGCTCTGGATACGTCTCCAGTGATGCAGGCCAGAGCTCAGTGACAGTCCCGCACTGAAGTCATCGGATATGACCCGCAGCCTCATGGAACTCAAGGGAGGGCACTTTGCTGGGCCCACGACGCACTCCCCAGCCAAAGAAATTCTACAGACAATTTCCAGGAAATCTTATATCACTGCTGCTCCTATCAGAGTGCATCTCCCCAGTACTCACCACATGCCCAGTTCTAGGTAACTTCCATACATGACCTCTCTTAATTCTCTTGGGAACTCTGGTGGCTCTGTGGTAAGGCTCTACATTACCAATGCAAAGGTGGTGGTTGTTGTTGTGTACCATGAAGTCAGAAGTGACGCATAGCTGACCCTCCGGTGGGTTTTCTGAGGCAGTTAATCGCAGGGGAGGAGATTACTCATACTTCTCCTGTGGAGCAGCTGGCAGATTCTAACCATGCGCCTTTGGGATTGCAGCACAGATTCTTAGCACTATGCAGGTCAAAGCCACCAGCTGCTTTGTGGGAGAAAGATGGGGAATCTCTTCCCGTGGGATTTGCTGCCTCTGAAAACCCACTGGTGGGTCAGCTATGGGTGGATTCTGACTCTAAGGTACACACAACAACAGGCTTCACAACTCCATGGTGCATGATCTGCCAAAGATGAGAAGCTTCAGGGGAAGCTGTTGATGCCCTCAGGACCGAGCCTCCTTTTCTTCTCCAGGCCTCCCTCTCAAAGAACATCCCACCTCTACCTCACATCATCTCCAGGCCCCTCTCCTTTCCAGGCCTCTCCCCAGGATGTCTACTGCCCCTCTGCCTCTGCTCCTTTCTCTAGACCTCACACTCTCATCTTTCTCTAAAATCTAAGCAATTTCCAAGGAGCAGGTTTTGAGTCTCCCCTGTGTTACGCACTAGAACTGTGCTTCATGGCAATTTGAGGGCAGTCATCTTTACGGAAACTGATTGCCAGGCCTTTCTTTCGCAACACCCTTGCATGGGCTCAGTGTCAATCTTTTGATTAGTCAACTCACAGACTACCTATCACTGGCCGTCCATTGGGTTTTGCAGGAAGTAAATCTTATGGGAGAAGACTACCTACCTATCTTTCTCCTCAGCAGCCTCTGGTGGATTTGAAGCACCAGCAAGGCTCCTTGCTCACACACTCATTGTCTGACACTCATTGTCCGACAGTTTGACTCAGCCCAGCTCTTCAAAGGCTGCATTCCCCCACCTGCCACTTCAAGACCTCAGGAATGGAAAAAGCCCCTCTTTAGAAGTTGATATTTGTGCCTTGAGAAGGGGAAAAGACATAAGGGAGTTATTAAAAAAGGCTTTTTTCCCAGTCATAGTAATTTTTTCCCTGTCAATGATGACCTAAAGGCATTATTAGGCCCCCTGGGAAATGTTGAGGTTTCTTGGAAGATCCAGGCGCATCCCTCCCCCTGCCAGCTCTCCCTAGACAGGCCCACAGTGGGAGGCCCTGGATTATGACGAAAAGCTGTGCTTTTCACTCAAGGTTGTGTTTCACAGACTGAAGCACTGAGGTGGACGTTGGGTCAATGGCTTTGTGAAATCCACCAGCACCAGCTACAATCGGAGTAGATGCACCACTATGTGTCCTGGAGGCTACTAGGGTTGTGCTGAGGAATGTGGCTGTTGAATGTGGCCATTCACCCTGGCCAGGTCCTAGAGGGTGGGGGTCATCCCCTGGGAAAAGAGAGGCATGGGGAAGTTAATGTCCAGCTAGCCTCAGGTTCACACCTATTGTACACATAGTGGTGTTATGAGTTGCTGGCAACTTGACGTCACATAACAACAACAACGTCACTCTGGTGGCCTCGTGGTAAGTTGTGCTGCCAATACAAAGGTTCATGGTTCGAATTCACCAGCAGCTTCGCCATTTGGGATTTACAGTCTTTGAAAAATATGCTAGAGGGTCAGCTATGAGGCCATTCCCACTCAATGGCACACAACAACGGGGTCACTCTGTAAGTGGTGACAGGTGTGGCACCAGGACCCAGGTCCCTGACAGGAGTCTTCCTCACAAACCACACTGTCACTTATGACCTGTATTGACGTCCTCCTGACATTGCAGAAAATGGGTGGCACTGCTTCTCGCGTGCTGCTGCTGGTCTTTGAGGACACTTTTCTCTACAGCGAGAAGGATGAAGACTGTCCCAGCCACTTGGGTGGGCTCAGCAGGCCTGCCACCCTCCTCTGCCTGAGGTCTGACACCACCGCTGAACTGGGGAAAGGGGCGAGGAGGGGGGCTGCTGCTGCTCTCACCTGTGACTGACCTAAGTGGTAACAGACTATGCTTTGAGTTCTTTTCACCCATTCTTTTTTTTAAATTGATTTATGTTGGTTTGCTCACAAAGTTCATATACATTGTGTTTCACATGACTCCTCATTCATACTGTTTCATAAAACCATTCCCATACATCATATTTATCGTCAAGTTGGAACTCACCCATAGCTGACTTTCTGGTGGGTTTTCAGAGGCTGTAAATGGAACAGGAGAAAATTGCTCATTTTTCTCCCTCAGAGCCACTGGTGGATTCACAGGCGATTGACACTTTCAAGTTAGCAGGGTGACTTCCACCTGACCAGGCCACCGGAGCTCCCTAACTAATGTTTGTTTATTGTTGTTGTGTGCTACTGAGTCAGAATGACCCACAGTAGACCCTCCAGTGGCTTTTCAGAGGCTGTATAACTTAGGTTTAGGGTTAGGGAGGAGACTGCCCATCCTTCTCTGGTAGCTGGTGGATTTGAACTACCTGCCTTTGAGGCTGCCGCACAGCTTCTTACCATTAGGCCACCAGAGCAAAACACAAGAAATGAAAACCAAAAAATCACAACTGCTTGTGATTACCCTGCTCGTAATTAGCAGCATCTGTTTTGTGTGTGCATGTGTTTATTTTTATTAATTTATTAGACTGAGTTTCCATACAGCAGAGCCTGTGTTTGAACCCTGGTCTCCTGCCCGTGCTTGAAGCCAGTGCTCTCCAGGTTGGAAAGGCCATGAGGGGTGGGCATGAAAGCCTGGCCCTCAGCCCTGCACCCTCTAGTACAGGACAGCCTCGGCCCCGCCCCAGACTCTGATCATGGTCCTAGTTGTTCCTGACAAGGTAAATGAGGAGTCCCAGAGAGCTCCTGCTTCAACATCCTACACGCCGTGCTCTGACCCCACTTGACCTCAGTCAGCACCAGCAGCTGGGGTCCATGAGCCCGACACACGCCTCTGGTGCCTGTTGCCAGGCTTCTTGAAGCTGACCACCTGCCACTTGGCCCTGCCCTGTGCCCGGCCCACGCACCCTGCTGGGCCACATGCCTGGGTAATAGTCCCGCTTCGCCCCAGGAGCAGCAATTCCCCACTGGGGAGCTTCTGTCCCTCACAGACAGCTTGTAGTGTCTGGAGACACTGTGCGTTGTTACAACTGGCAGGCCAGAAGGTAGAAGCCAGGCGTGCTGCTAAACCTCCCTCAGTGCCTGCAGCAACTCCCACAGCAAACACATATGTGACCCTAAGTGCTGGCGACGGGAAAGCTTGCATGGACTACAGTCCTGTCTCTAGGTTTCTGCGTGCCTAGGGTCCTACA